AGGTACTGCACTTATTTTAAACTCTAGTGAGAAAATATGCTTTGTAATGCTAACCATAACCACCATATTACTCAATTTTATTTGTATTAAATATTGGTTTGTTTTTTTTTTTACTTAATTTATGTTGGTTTTCACCCAGAAAGCTCAAGTTTGCCAGAGAGATGGCCTATGTGAAATCCAAGGAATGAGATATTCAAGGGAACATCTCTCTCATTCTTTCCTTTTCCTGTTACAGACACATCCATTCTCATTGGCTTATACCCCAGAAGAAAACAATGAACCAGACATGCAAACTTAAAAGGATTGTGCAAGAGTCATGTGAGACAAACACTGTCATTAAAACTTTGTTTGCTATAGCAGTCAGATGAGGACACAGTTTCATAAAAAGGGCCTGATAAGTACAGCATGCATAGAAGGTTCTCATACTGTTCCTGTTCAAGGATTTTAAACGAAACAGCTTAAAATAGGAGAGGATTTTCATTGCATTGTCGTTCCAAAAAGGTAGATTATTGGACTGGAAACTGGATTATCCAAGCAAAAAATTACTCATTTGCAAGATTTATGCAATCTCCACTCTTTCCCTCAATCCTAAAGAATGAACATAATTGTGCACACACAGGTCTTGTTTCAAGCCTATCACCATCAATAGGTCTGGAGGAGAATGGAAACCAATGTTTTTTCACTCTCAGCATGAAACTCTGCATGACTTCAGAGTGAAATTGCTTCCATCAGCCTATTGAACATTTTGGCACTAGAAAAACTACTGGGAATGGTCAGGATAACATACAGTGTAAGAGCGAAATACATTCTGTTTGCTCTACACCTAAAGGAAGAGAACTTAAAAGTTAGTGTGTTTATGCCCTATGAAGGTGTGTCTAATGCTAGTTCAAGAAGTGGTCAAGTATTTCCTTTCATTCATGTCTTCTAATGTGCTAGAATTTTCTACCCTTCTTGTTACTGCTGATATTAACCCGTCTCATTACTCTTTTGCACTTCTACTTTTGTCGTCACTATTTCATATTTTCCTCTGTTAGTCTTTTTCTTCTATTATACTTCTGCTCACTGTGTCCTTACCTCTGTAGGTTTTGCCCTTACTTAGTGCCTTCTCCTGTGTGAGTGAAGCAGGGCTGCGGCACGTCCATAAGCAGAAATACAGTCAGAAAGGCTAGCAAAATGCTTTTTAAAAATAGCATTCCAGAGAGGCCAAAAAAAGGAGTGGGAAACAAGCTGACTGAGCGTCACCTGTCCGCCTGAGACAGTCTTTAAAGAAATGCTCCACTAGCCTGTCTGGAAGAAGAAAATGGATGTGGATGTGTGTATAAATTTTAGCCTCTGTACACGCTGTGGGAACAAGAAGAGAGCACTCAGATGACTACATTCCATGTGACTGCTTGCTACAAGCTACTTAAAAGAAAACTTTGCTAGAGTGCCTTTAAAAGAAAAGGTTGTGGATACATGTGCTCATGGTACAGGAAACACAAGGAATACACCTAGGTAAAGTGACCCACAAAAGAACGTGTGCTTACTTAACTTCCTGAAAGCTTAAGAGAGATTTTTTACTTGCTCTACTTCTGTGTTTGATCTTTTTGTCATAATAGAGCTAAGCAAAACAAACAGGAGAACAGCTCTTGGACTCAAGTGTCAAGATGTCCTTTCAGCACCCCTAGAAATCACACGCATATATCATTATGATGTTTTAAGTAACAAAAACAATATTTTTTTATCCTCTGGTTACTTTACTCCCTTATAGCTCTTCTTCCTACCAATCTGTTTTTCTTACTGCAGTGAACTCTTGCAGTATTATAAAGTCTTGGAATATTTACGTTATTTTCTCATCCCTTGGCAAAAAGCATAGACTTGATCTGATGACACCCCAAAGGCTTAGAGAAAATAGAAAATTAGGCATTCGTAAGTAGTCTAGCAATACAGCCATCTTAAGATACCTTTATCTTAATCAAACATTACCCCACTACTGCCTGTGCAGAACAACCAGTCTGGTTAAACAGACTGGACCATACTAGGCAATGTAACGTGTAATGGTGAGTTATGTCGGCCCAGAAGAGCAATAGTAACAATAACAAATATATGAGCTACTCAATAAAATATACTTAACTCACTTTTCAAAACAACAGATTCAGTCTTCTACTCCTTCAAGGGAAAGTTAAAGCAGATCTCATCTCTTTACAAATCATCTGAAGAGGATAGTAACTGTTTGAGAAGATTGTTGTGAAGACGTTCCAAGTGTTGAAGAAGAAATACAAAAGCAAATTGAGAACAAGTGTTCTGGGACAGCCACAGATCTGAAAATGTTCATAGAAACATTGCATATTCAAAATACATGACTCAAAAAAGTTATTTCAGATGAAGGAAACTGAATTTATTTACAGACCGGCCAGTGGCAACAGCACCATGAATCACAATGTAAAAACACAACACATGAATAAACCTTGTCACATGCAGCTGTGAAACACAGATTTCCATCCCATTCATCACTGAAAAAGAAGTACAGTGCCTGCAGTTTTGAGAAAAAGTTAATTAATGCAACTACTTTAAAACCTTTGGATGCCTTCTAACTATACTAAGATTTTTCTTTCAAACTTCCCCTACGTATATTTTGTCCTGGATTCAAAATGCACATAGCCAAGCCCTTGGATGTACTGAAGGATCTGGACAGAGTCCATCTGTCACTCTCAACTGCATCCCCATAACCATCCATTCCACCACATCATTCCTCCTTCCTTTTGAAAATCTTGTTCGTCAGTCAGCCTGGAGCTAAATTGAATGGCTGGATTTCTAAGTAGAATCCTTAGTGAGGATGTGAATACCTTTTTTACTTTATTCTGGATCCCTTTTCTCTAAGCATAACACTTGTTTAATTCCCCGGTCAATTCTCTGGTTTTGCAACCTATGTTGTTTATACCATCAAACTTTACATAAACATCTGAAGTAAAAATATGTAAACATTCTTCTGCATCCCTGCATCATGCATAGCACATATCCTGTACTACAAGAGGAAATAATTTGCCCTTGCAGCATTGTTTTGCATTTGCATCACTTACTCTAATTTTAAAATTCTTCTTTTAGTTCATTTAGGGCTTCCTGTGCCACACCTGTGTCATTATCCATCTGAACTGCATGGGAGACTCTCTTAAGATTCCCTGGTAGAAAACCTTAAAATATACCATAATTAGAGCTCACAGACTACATTTCCTCTGGAAAAAAAAAAAAAGAACAGAAGAAACCAGCATATGTCCAAAGAGACTTCTAAATAGATCAGCAAGGAAAAACAAATCTGTGCTGAGGAAAGGGCAAAGGCAAACAAGAAAGTAGCATACAGGAGAAACAAAAATATCAAAATGAGGTCATAATCACAATGAAGTCATAATCCTTCTTTGGGATTCACAGATGCTTCTGCATGACTGCCTTTGCGAAGAAGCAATGCAGGGATCAAAGACTAAATTGACACTAAGCAAAATGATATGCAGAAGGTTGTTTATAAACATACCAGAACAAAATATTCTGACATGAAATTGGACTTTTTGGTGGCAAAATTAACGTGCTGACTTTAACACGTCTTCACTTCAAAATTTCTAGCAAAAACTAGGAGTTCAAATACCTATCAGTAAGCAGCCAGTACAGTACTACATAAACTACATAAGAACACGGGGCCTGTGCCAAGATACTGGATGAACCTCAGGACAATGGGAGAATCACAGAAGCTATTCCCTTCAAAAACCACAAAATTCAGGAAATGCACTGTATTACTTTCTGTCAAAAATGTATACATTCTTAAACAGGTATTTTTTACATGCAAATTACCATTCGAAACATCTGAAAGTCACAAGGAAGAAGTTCACATTAATCTTGTATTCCTTCCCTTCCACTTGAGAATATGACCATTCAAATCACAGAAAAGGGTGGAGATAGGTATAAAAATATAAAGTCTGACAGTTTAACTGAAATTCTTCTCAGTGCATCATGGTTGTTTGATTTTTTTTTTATTTTTTTTTTTTTTAAGTAAAAAGTTGGCTGCTTGATCATAAAGGTTGGAGAGTGACCTTGAGGAAATTGCCTTTGCCAGCATGCCTTTTACACAAGCAGCAGAATGGAAGAGACATTAGCAAGATCAGGCTGATCAAAAGGTATTAACACTGAATTTTATGAATGTGGATAACAGTTTAACTCAAGTATGGTGTCCTCGTAAGCAAGTGAGGTATCTGACACAGGACCTTGAGTCCCACACAGTATTTTAAGAGTGAAATATTGCAATCTGGAGATCTAACAGTGAGGGCAGTAAACTTTACAAGACAAGGATTATGTGGCAGAAGAGTTCATAGTGAAAGTGACCACACATTTTGTCACGTTAGCACTCTTCAAGCCCTGAAAAATCATAAAGAAAGGCAACTGGAAAAGTGGGAATGTAAGAAGTTGTGTGCTAAAGACTGATCCTGGACACGGCGATAGGTGAAGTATCATTATGAGCGGAGAACTGAAACGCGTTAATGAAATCCACGCGCTTATCCAGGACGATAACTATAAAAGCAAACCACTAAAAGCACTCAAGCAGCTATAAATGCAAGTATTCGCAAACAAGTCATTCCTTCTGAAAACAACAAAAGGAAGCACCCCACCCTCCACAAAATAATACAGCAGGTAAAATAATAGGCAAGTGACTTTGGGGCAACGACCCGAGGGCAGCTCTTCAGGTGATACGGCACAGCGTCCGAGAGCAACGCGGCACCAAGACGCAGTGCAGCGTTGGGATGTACAGCCGCGCTCAGCCCGGGAGCAGCCCTGCGCCCGCGTTACCTCACGGGCACCTTCAGCAGAGCCCACGTGCGCGGGCAGACATCCTGCAAGGAGCGCTGAGGAACAATTGCTGGAAAAGCAACCGCTGCCCCGTTCTTTTTAACAGGTTATTAACACGAAAAGCCGGTGGTTTGGAACAGCCCCAACGCCGGCTTCCTGGCCTGCAACCCTACAGCTGCTCCCTCAGTTACCTGGGGCACGGCCGCGCTGCTTGCACACACAGGATAATCGCGCCCTTCGCACGCAGGCGATGCGCCGAGAACGACACTAAGAAAGGGGGTAAAGAAGGGGTGTTGCAGCCCATCAGCTTGACACTGCCTCGGCCTCCCGGCACGGCGGGCCGCCCTACAGCCTCAGCCCCATCTCCGCTCTCCTCAGCGCGCGGTAGCTTTCAGGGCCGGCCGCGCGCCCACCTCGTGCCAGCGGGCGGGAATGGAGAAGCGGGAAGCGCGAGGCGCGACCCCACGAGGACCCCGCCGACGCGAAGGATGCGGGCTGCACCGCGCCTACTAGGCACGCTGCCTGCGCGCGGCACGCCGACTGAGACGTCTCGCCGAGCCCGTCACCGCCCGGCCTTTCTTCCGATCACAGCCGGGCGCCGCCCGCTCCCCTCCTCCCTCCTCCCCTATCCTCCCTCTTCCTGGCGCCGGGCACGCGCGGCGAGACCCTGTCCGCCCCGGCCACGGCGCCGTTCCGCCGCGCGTGCGCGCTGCCGAGCCGGGCGTAGGCGGCTCCCGAGGCGGGGTGGGCGCACGCGCACGCGCCGCCCCAGAAGGCGAGACGCGGGGAGAGGAAGGAGGAGACGGGTGCGGCGAGGGGGGAGCAAAAGTTGCTGTGAGGGCGGGACCGTGGCTGGAGGCTCTGCCGGGAGGGGGCGGGAGAGCAGCCACGAGCTGGCGCCGCCGGAGAAGAGAGGTGAGGCGGGGTGCCCCGGCGGATCTGAGGCGGGAATGGGGTACGAGGACGCCCCCCCCCCCCCCCCCCCCCATCCGGGATGGGGCGGGATGTGCTGGGGTCGCTTCGTCTGAGGGCGGTGGGCGACCGCGGGTCCCGTCCCGCGCGGAGTCTTTGGGGAGAGGGTCACCGCCGTCTCCTGGGGGCGCGGCGCGGTACCGCGGCTGAACGCCTCCCGGGGCCGTCGTGGTGCCGCACGGAGCGGCTGGCGTTGTCCCCGCTCCTCGGGTTGTGTAAGCGGCGGTAGGCCGGCACGGCGATACTCAGCTCCGAAGAGCGCGCGGACTGCGTGCGGGACGGGGCGAGCTCGGGGGTTGTGTCGCTGGGGGCCAGAAGTTAATGTTTAACGCGGTAGTCACATGCCCGTCAGCGAGCTCGGCTGGGGTGTTTTCGGAGTGTTTGGAACAGGAAATGCCAGTGCAGGTAGCGTGGAGCTCGGTGAAATTTAATCAGTTCCCAGCGTTTGCAGTCGCTCGGGTAGCGCTCCGGGTGCAGGTGGGCGGGCGGCTGCTGCAAACTGCTCGGCACCCGGCGCTGCGGCTGTCCCCTGCTTTGATTTTCAATGCAAATACGTTAAAAGACGCTTTCCGAGGGGAATACGTCTCGTTTTCTCAGCGCGTTTTTTCCTCTTCCCAAAGTAAGTGTGGTTTTTACGAACCTCCTTTTAATCCTTTGTACTGCACGTGTTTTGCCTTGAACTTTTGGGGTTATTTTAAGAGCTAAAATTCGGTCGTATGAATGGTGTTGTGCCTAACTGGTGATGTGCAGCCCCTTCTCCTGTTGTCCCTGTCTTGTCTTGTCATGAAGTGATGACTTTTGCTATCGAAACAGCAAGCATTTGTTGTAATCTGAATGCATGTTAATCTGAATAATGAACAAGTGATGTTCTCCTGCCTTACCAGTGCTGCAATCTAAGATATAGTTACTGTTTGTCAGGATTTTTAATATCGTTATTTCTGTAAAAAGTTCTTACTTTGGACCAGTGGGATGTTGACAGTAAAAACACCAAAAATGTACTTGATTTTTCTATCTACCTGATAGTGCAGAATCTTTTTCCAGTCGTATGGGATGTGTGGTATACGGCAGCAGGATTATTTGGTTGTGGGATCCATGGGGCTCCAGGGCCAACGCTAGTGCTGTTACTTTTTAGTTCCATTGCTTTCCAAGGTCTTGATTGCAACACTTGTGTAGTTTTTCCTCAGCTGTTGGTGCTGGATGCAGTAAAATCAGCTCCGTCATTTGAGGAGTATGGCAACAGAAGCAAAACCTGTTCAAAAACTTCTTCAAAAATGCTTTTTTGGCTTAAATGGAAACAAGCTGGATTTTGGCAGGGCATGGTGAAACACTGATGTGCTGAAGCTGTACCAAGGTTGTGGACTTGGTTGGAGTTTGAGCTGTGTGGACTGAGGGGGAAAAAAGGTTGTGGAAAGAAAGCTTTGGGGGAAGAAATAAAAAACTTGGTGTTTTTCACATTTGTTAATTATCAAACATTCCAGAGAACAAAACACTTCATAAATGACTGAGAAGATGCAGAAACAAAAATCTCTGTAGGTTGTTGTTTTTAATAATATATCTCTGTGGCTGAGAGTGAGGATGGTTGGGAATAGCACTCCTGAGATTTCATCACATTCAGATTGGTTTGAGATCTTGATAGGTCTGATATTTAATATATGCTGATACTTGAATTCAGCAGGGAGAAATGCTATTATGAGAAAACTCAAAGATAACTTGCTGCTTTAGGGCATTTGGGCTCCAAATTTTTTATAGCTGAGACACACTGCTTCCTTCTCTGCCTCTTCTGTCCTACTTCTCCATGTGAATTCATTAGTGTGAGTTTCTCTGCATGATGATTCACTGTAAATACTGGCTCGTGTCATGTCTTGGGAATTTGTCTTTAAGAGCTTTACTCAGAATTGCCATTGTGGCTATTTCTAAAGTTGGTTCCTAGTTGCAACGGTTGAGAGATGCTGCTATGAACCTGTTGTTTTCTTTTAGATGCAAACAGGAAAGTTTTCGTTGGAACAGTTTAAAGAAAAAATTGTATGCTTTTACAGAAGCCATCTGTGATAGCATCTACACTTTTGATTTTCCCATCCTGAAAGGATATGAATAAATATGACATCACAGAGCAGTGACTTAGCTTTTGAGGGACTGCTAAATGGATGTGTGCAAGAGAAGAGACAATAGAGATATTTAAAATAGAAGAAAAGTTTGGTTTTAAGGTCTTCAGGCATTGGGTGGAATTATTTTGAGAGAGAAGACTTGAAATAACACTTTTGCCTCCTGAGACTTTCTGAGTCAGTGTTGGAAGGTAGAAAGAATGTGTCAGACCAATAGTACTGGCTGGTGTACTTGCCGTTACCCCATGAAATCAGGACTGATTGTCACAGCTGGAGATGTACGTTAATTGGTTTCAGTAATGTTCTTGTTGCAAATCATGTCTTGCAAGTATGCACTGTTATCAATGACAGGTTTTTTGCTCTGATGTTTCAAAGACTGAAAACATAAATTTTTATAAGCGTGTAATTTGAGGGCTTTTGTAGACAAACAGAAACTAAGGACTACTAGGAGCATTAGATGTGTATTACAGCAAGTGAGATCTGTTGTCACATACAGTTCAGTGCAGTAATAAAGATGGGGACAGATTACTACAGTGACCAAAACATTGAGTTGGTTATTTTTATAGTGGCCTTTTCACAGTATAAAGATTTTTTTTTATCTGTTGATGAAATTTGGTCATTTTAAATGTCAAACTTTAAACTGACAAAAACATTCAAATTTTCATGATCATAAGGTTTTAGATTTTTGATGAATTTTGTCCTTTGGGGGCTGGGGGGGTTGGAAGTGTCATCGGTCCTAATAGTGTTAGCTCAGTGTTGAAGTCTGGCAGTTTTCCATAGTACGGTTTCTTCCAAATACACTTAGTCTCTATTCTTTCTAAATATATGTAAATTCCTAAGTTGTAACAAATTATCAGTTAAGAAACTGATTTACCAGAGTCTTCAAATCACTGAGTAGGTTGCCAAGCTCAGCGCAGAGGTGTGAGCTACCAGCAGAAGCAAAGAACTGTATTGCTTAAAAGTAATCTCGTTGTTGGACACTGAAGCTGTTTGTCACTATTCATCTATGCAACACACTGGAATGCATTGCAAAATGAGACTGAGATGTAAGTGATGATTCTTCAGCCAAATTTCAGACACAGTCAACAATTTCTGAGCCCATTGGCAGGTTTCTACCCAACTTAATGGAAGTTATAGAAATCCTAACAATGATTATGTATTTACAGAGTACATGAAAATGGGCAGCTGGCTGGAAAAAAGAGAGCTTGTAAGCAGATGCAGGGAGCAGCGTTGGTGTGTACGCCAGCTAGGACTTAGAGGACTCAGTAACCCATGAGACATAAGTGTGTAAAGAGCACTCGTAGTTGCAGTGCTCATAGAACCAACTGTTTATCTTCCCAGTTTTAACTGAGTGCACTCCAAAGATGTCTAAACTCAAATGTGCTTATAGAAAGTAGGTGATGTGAAGTAGTAACTATGCCATTTTCTACGCTACTTTAGCAGTGTTTTATACTGAAAAGACTGTGCAAGCCACAGTTGATTAATTCCCAGGGTATTCGTATGAAACCGGTGAAAGTGTGCATTTCTGTAGATTAGTGCATTTCTTGTTCTGGGAGCCAAAAAGATAAGTAGCAGAAATGTATTTTGTCCTGTATGTCTGCACAGCTAATGGTCGCCTGATGCTTTATGGGGAACAGTGATGACTGAGGAACAGTTGCTAAAACTGAGCAAAGTGGAAGAACTTAGGCTGATAAATAGCTGTTGCTTTAAAAGTTCATGATTTTTTTTTTTTCCTTTGGTTGAGAGTTGCCATCCAAACTTTGTCCCTTTAGGCCGAAAGACAAGAATATTTCTTTAATTCCAGATGATAAAAATCTTCCGTAGCATGTTAATTAACATCATATGAAACGTGCTTTGCTGAAAGGCTGGACTCCTAGAAGACTGTACAGTTTGGATGAATTACAGTCAATCCTCAGCCACCCACACCTTTTCAAGCGAACAACTTATTAGCCACTGAAATTTAAAGGTCCTTTATAAACGCTGCAGTGCAATAATGGCTTACTTGGATATGAAGGAAGAGTATTCAGCTCCTAATTACAGCCCTGGAGAAGATTGAATTTAGGTCAAGTGAGTCAGTGGTCTTGAGTTGATCAGCAGCATTGCTTCTCAGATGTTTGGAATGGCCTCCATTGAGTGTAGGGAATAATGTGCTTCGTGGATGGTTCAAATCAGGCAAAGTTTGCTGTGACTAAAAAGCATATATCTGTGCCAGCATCTTCTGCAATAGCTGTCTTTAATCTTGGCTTTTTTTTCCTCAGAAAAACAAATCAAAAAAGCCCTTGAATGCGTGATCTAAATTTCTCAACTATAAACTTTCCTCTCCTTAGGGAGAGGCAAAGGCTGCAAAAGTAAATGTGTGACAAATGTTAATCATATTGCTCATAGCTCTGTTGGACGGCTCTTCTACAATGCCCCTCTTGCTAGTGAATGAGGAGTGGTGCAACGTAATGTTTGATATGGGTTATTAGTGACAAAAGGAAGATCAGTGGGATTTCCCACCCCAAGGTAGGACTAAACAATCTGATG